ACTCCCAGGTGGAAACATGCTGGTGCAGAAAGTTAACACCTCTCTCTTTTCTTCCGTCGTCCGATTAAGCCTCTTCCTGGTGGTGGGACTTACAAACTATCCAGGTTACAAACAATTCTAGACTGATACCAGGCACTGGGAGACTGTTTAAATGTACCATCTAAATTAAATTATGAAAAAAAATGAACAGAACTTGCACATTGATATGTAATTTAATATATAGTTATTACATCAGCTATAATGCTGTCTGGTGACTTTTATATGACCGATTAATTTTCTATAATAACATTTAATTGGTGAATAATAAGCAGGGTAAGTTGAATTCTGAATAAAATTCTGTTCGGTGAAGGTTGGGCAAGTTTAATTTTAAATTTAAAATCAAGTTCTATTTCCTATTTCTGTATGTGTAAAAATAAAGATGTGATCATCAAAATGTTTTAAGTTGAACGTAAGATCAGCCCACATCTTGTTATCAGTTCTTAGGGCTTTTAATTAATCTTATTCATTTTAACTCTAAGAATATTTTTTGTCACATATCGCGCTAGCTACAAGTGGAAGTATCAATGATTCTCTATAGGACCTTATTCTTTATCCTGGAGCCAACTAAAGGATCCAAAGTGTCAACCTATTCTCATTATGAGTGCGTGTGAAATCGTACGAAAAGTTATGCACCGTAATTTCGTACGTTTTGGACGTTTTTTTTCGTCGTATGCGCATGCGCATCTGACGAACCATTCACAAATATAGAATATAAATTACAATTAGCCCTAACCCTGACCCTAACCCTAACCCTAAGATATAAAACAGCAAGCAATGTAGTTAGAGATATGAATAAGTGATGATTGCACTGTTTTTCCCAACTTTTCGTCCGTCCGCGGATCTGCTTTTTCTTTTCTGTCTGCCAGCGCATGTGCACTGATGTGGTTTTTTTGAGGAAAAACGTCCAAAAACGTACGAAATAGTGTGCATAATTTTCGTACGATTTCATGAGCACTCATAATGAGAATATGTTGAAAGGGTTGTGTGTTCTGCATTGCATGATCTTGTTTAAGTATTTTCTTCAAATTCAGAGGGTAAGACTGGAGAGATCTTTCATTTAAAAAATATAACCAACCGAAGGTTGCCAGTCAAACCTTGATTTTATGGAAATGTAAATCTATTGATATTAGACTATGGTTGTAACAGTTTCTTAAACTAATCGAAAGTTGTTTCGAACATTATGGAGACTATTTTTAGATATTTCCTTCGTGTCTGTGTAAAATACATGATAAACAAAGTTTATTTTCACAAAGAAACTACAAATTATGTTCTCTCTAAGTTTTAATTGTTACCAACCCAAAACTTTCACCCAGTTGTGTGCAAATTTCTGTCAGCAAACAAGCAGAAAGTAAAAGTTGAGAAAACCAATCAAACAATACTGACTCATGCATTGGATAGTGTCAGCCAGTGTCAACATTTTGCAAATTTTAATTTTAATCCTGTCTGTATTTTAATGGTATTGATAACTCTTTAACTTTAAATGTGAAAAATCCAGCATTTCATTTAGATGTTGCAGTAACCATTGAATGCAATGAATACTTTTACTGTTTTGAGCTGGTAAATATACTATCTGCTACTTCACATAAACTAAAATGATCCAAGTCATTAAAACTATTAGGTAACTAAGAGAAGTAATTCATAAAGATCTTTTCATTAATATTTTTATATTTTATATATTTTTATTTTATATTTTATTTTTTTCATAAAGGTTAGGGAAGTTTTTTTCTTCCCTTCATGGACTTTTCCCTGCACTTTTTGAAAACATGAGTCGATTTTGATTTTCAGTTGGGTGCTATAAATCCACTAGCGATAATGACAATCACACCCACAATAAACTACTTCTTAGTTAATACTTACATTTTGTTATTTTCAAGTACCTTGTACCTAAATCTCAAGACTTTAAACCACGACAGCCACCCCCCACCCCCATATTACATGATCTACATAGAGGACTGCTCTCTCTGCTCAAGGTAAAACTAGACTCTTATGTAAAATATGCATGTTTAAACATTTTTATGGTACACCACACTAACTTAGTCTGCTATCAGTTTCCTGAGACCCTTTTTTTTTGCACTGCCTCCCACAGTGTAGAAAACATCAGCATCTACTGAGCCGAAACACTAAAATATTCTCAAGTAAAATAAGTATCTATTTCTAGCATCTTTTTTATAAGCCCTTTAAGTGGAAAAACGGCATAGTTCCATTAAATGAAGTGCTAGTTGCTTGGAGAATATCCTTGTTTTTTTATACTGTGTAAAGAATGAGGCTACTTTCCTTGAGTTTTTAAGAAAAGAAAATATTGGCATATGGCGGTATGACTCCAATACAGATTTTGTGTTCACTTCTACTTGGAAAACTATATATTAATTTTTCATGTACTAAATAATTAGTGTGGCATTAGTGGAAATACAAACTTATACCCATGAAATATATGCCTGAAATATATATACATTAAAGATATGTCTGATATTGGTTCCTCCTTTGTTTTACTCAAACTGCACACACAAATACATAAATACAAACATAAATGCATACAATGGTGTTATACTTTTTAAGCAGCCAGATGAAGTCTGTCACATGCCTAAATTTAAGTCTCTTAATTTATCAATTGTTGTTAACAAAGAGGGGCTCTCTCCTGCAGCAGAATTGAACGTAAAATGTTACTAGATCGAGCAATTTATAACGAATACAAATCCCTCCCCTCTGCCTTGACTGGAGAAGCCCATTACACAATAGGGATAAAACATAAGTCATTATTGAGTCATAAAACCCTTTAGGGGTTTAGGGGTAACCTCTTCGAACAGGCGAGAGAAATATGCAGTTCTTGTCCGCTTGACCTCCAGCATACCGGTGGCCGTCAGCGCTGGACACCCCTGCTGAAAGCTCTCTGCTGTTCATAGTGGCTGGAAGTTAATATAAAGAGTTTCTAAGGTTTGTGGTAAAAACTGCAAGTACCAGAATATAGAATCGAATATTTTTCGTCAGCAGGTTTTACATTTTTCTGTTAATTGGGGTATTTATAAAATATTTTGCCGTAGTTCATTAAAAAAAATGTTTTAGTGCTGCAATAATGGTCAAAGCTCTCTCTCTTTTCCTTGTAGCCTATATAACAATCCATTCTTCCAGGGTTTTTTAATCCTTTGGACTTTAACGCCTTGATATTTATTTATCAATTATGTGCAGACAGCTCTGCAGAAACGATAACAGTTGGTGTGTAGTGTCTACCTCCTCCAAATAAATTCCAAATAACTCCTCGATCAGCTTTTCCGATTGGTTGAGGTGCAGGCGTCCAGCGGCAAAAGTAAAATTTTCTGAACTGCAGCGTCAAACTCTCGGATGCTCTGCTGCTTCCGATGCTCAAACGCGCCGCTGGACCACTTGATGCCGTCCGCCAAAGACTGCATGTGAATAAGATGCTTTGATGCCCAACCATTAGAAATCATAGATGTCCTCTTTGACATTATGCCAGGAATTTGTGTGTGTAGTGGGGAGGTGTTGGCTGAAACATATATACAGTACATGCATTGACGCTAACAGGTGAAAGTTAAAAAAAGGTAATGAGAGTTATAAAACCTTCTTTCCCAAGTTAGCACACACCAAGTGATGTTTTGGGTAAGGGCAAGCCCTATTATCTAAACAAAAGTCTGTGTGATTGGATGTGTTCGGTATCGGCTGTGATGGACCCTCACGGGTGATTAGTCTCGGGTGGAAAACATCCTGATAGGAGCATCTCTACCACATGTGTATAGAATCAAGCCCCTCGCCATGCAAAGTGAAAGAATGGGTTGCTCCTAGCTCAGTGGATTCTAGCATAAGTGTGATAGGATGCCAACTGTGCAACAAATCCACTCATGAAATTTCCACACTCCAAAATTTTGATAGTAAAATATCAGCTTTATTTTAATAAAATTGAAGTGTTTAGGAGCAACAGCAACTCAGCCACAAAAAGTTAGCCCTTGTAAACTGATGGAGTGTAGTGCAAAAGGTCGAACAACTTTCTGCATAGTTAATTGCTACACACCTCAAAAGGTCATGTTGCCTTCATAGCCAAAACAGAGCAGAGAGGTCTTCATGGAATGGGACATTATGGACAATAACTGAGCACCAGAGCACAAAGTAATGTTCATAAAGACAGGGATGGCAGAGTCTGCAGTGGATGAACTTGACTTTCCTGACCTGAACCTGATTGAAAACCTCTAGGATGCATTAGAGCAGAGAGCCTGGCCTTCTCGTTCATATTGTGATCTCAACAATGCACTTCTGGAAAAACTGTCAAAAATCCCTATAAACACACTCCTAAACCTTTTGGAAAGCCTTTGCAAAAGAGTTGAAGCTATTCCAGCTGCAAAGGATGAACCACCGTCAGATTGAACCCCAATGGACGAGGAACAGGATGTCACTGAAGCTCAAATGAATCAAGACAGGTTAGCGAATACTTTTGGAAGTATAGTGTACCTAGAATAATTGTTTACAGTGTGGAGTAACAAAAAAAAGGGAGTTACGGAAGGAATTGTTTGACTTCAGTGATCAGTATGGTGGATGACACCTTTTCAGCTTTCCTGTTTTAATAGAAATTATAAACTCTTTAAATCAGCACCTACAAATGGGCCAATAGTATATTTAAAACACATTGGTAGAAAGTGTGAATTTGGTTTGAAAAAAAAAATGCTTAAATGTTAATCAAAGCAGTATAGCAACTGTTATGAATCACAGTTTCAATTTCAGTTTAACTGTGAGAAAAAGAAGAATTTCAAAGGAAATATTTTGATTTCCCTTTTTTAAATCTTAACAGAGAGAAGATGTGACAAATACTGCAAATATTGTTATAAGAATGGTTTGTATGTGATATATGATATGTGAATGATATATTGTAATGTAAGAAACAAAAACACACCTTACTACTGTATGGAAATCTGTTCAGAATTTATGAGCACTTGTTTTTTTCACATATTTTTCTTTATTGTTGACAGACATCTGGAAAAAGACAGGATTCTACTGAAATTTTGTCTAAAAATGTTTAAGACTTAAGTATTGACCAATTCTGAAAATGACAATGAAGACCTTAATTTCACCGTCTTCCATTTCTACGCTGTGCTACTTAGTTATACTCCAACTTAGAAATGCTTAAAAAATAAAGCAACCATGGTTGTAATGAGACTAAAGTGATAAAGCTCATTGGGTAGTCATATTCATGCGAGGCAAGGTGCATCTTAGTGTCGCAACTTTGATTTGGTTAGAAAACAGATGCAACTTATGACTGATTTGTTCCCCTTCTGTGCTTTCCTTGACCTAGAGCTGTCCCACAGAATGCTTTCAGGTGTGTCACTGAAGAGGCAGCCACAAGTACCAAAGAGCTGAGGAAGAACGAAGCCCCACTGATGAAGAAGGTTGATGCATAGTTGCCGGTCTGGTCTACAAACCAACCTGGAGAAGGAAAAAGAAAGGCACCATTTAACAATCAACACATGTGTTTGTAACACACAAGTTATCTCCAAGGGAAATCAGTGAAACTAAGATTAACTAACCACTTATGATGTGAAAAATACCACTGAAATTAAATTGAAATGTTTAGTGATGTTTTTATGTCTAAATTCTAAGAGCTGTGAAATTCCTTAACTTTTGATAAATTGGGAAATAAATGACATTTAATCTTAATTACTTGAAAAGGCCCAGTCACGTGATATGACTAGAATTTTCCACACTAGTGGCTCATATGTAAAGGTATTACAATTAAATTATGCCACCCTGGTGGCTTATTTTATTTCATTTCTGAGTAATAGAGCAAAGCAACTCCCAGCAGAGGTGTGAAAAGAAATATGATCTGAGGTCAAGGGTGAAAAAGCTAAAAATAAAATAAAATACAGCATGTGAATATTTGATGTGCTTGGATTACAATATAAATGTAGTTCACTTGAGGGTATAGTGGAGGATTTTCTTGAATCTTTGAAAAGACCCACCCTCTCCACTTAGAAAAAAACACAACTCTGTACCCACAACAGAGAGGGAATGCCTCCTCCTGCACTTTCCAAAAGAAGATTTGCATTTTTGCCACTAAGTCAAACTCACCACAATAAGTGAAAACGTATTTACGACAAGCAAACATGTTTAAAAAATATGTGTTAAGCCATAAGTAATACAGATATTGTGAATGCAAATATAATAGAAATAATAATAGAAACTTCACAACAGAGGCAATAGTGGGAAGCCCAACCTTTGCTTTCAGTGTACGCCATCCCAAAAACCCTCTGGTCTCTGGTCGTTTCTCTCTGAGGCCTGCCTTTTGTTCTCACAAACTTGGCAGACGCTTTTGCTCTTATGACCTTCGGCCATTTTCAAGGAAACGTGCTGAGGAAAGAGCTTTAATGACTGTCCGAAACCGTAGCTCACCACACATATGTGGCTGAAAGTGCGCATGCGCAGAAAAAGATAGCTACCTATGGGGACAAGCACATAGGAAGGCCCTACGTAAACATATCACCAGAATGTTTGACAGTAAGAAGGACCACTTATTTAGATGATCCACTCGGAAAAAGAAGTATTTCCACTATACCTTTAAGCAAGAGCTAAAGATGTGGGAGCTGCCAAGTTGTTGAATGCATGACTAAGTAATGCCAGCAAAAGCCAACAGTGTTTATGTCTGCTGATTGAGCCTACTGCTAATTTTACTTTAAAGGCTCAAAAGGAGTAAGTTAACACTATCAGGGGTAACACTTGCTGTGAGTTTTTTTTTTTAAGATACATTTATATTTTTTCTCTGTTTTTTTTTTTTATAGTCATAACATGTTACTGCATTGCTTTAATTATTCAGAATCCAATTATCCTTAAACACAGCAACATTTCTTTGTAACTCTTACCTCCTATAGGTGGGCTGATCAGGTATGGGATTGCATGCAAGAAGTACACCACACCCAAGGCCGTGGTTAGATGATCAGAGCCCACAGTGTCAGAGGTTACAACTGGTATCAGTGCGACATAGGCTCCATCAAAGTATCCGTAGAGAATGGAAAATGGCACCAGGAGGGAAAATGAATTGAGGAAGGGTAGGAACATGCAACAAAGGCCTTCCATGCTTATAGCTACCATGTAGCTCAACACACGATACCTCTTTAGACACCTGAAGGAGAGGGAATCTGTTAGTAAAAATCTTTGGTTAAATGATTAAATATTATACAACAAACAATACCTTCATTCCTCACTTACTTCCTGTCGGTGATCCATCCAAAGGTGATGTTGCCAACAATTCCACTGATGCCAAATATTGACATGAGGAAAGCGGCATGCTGATGCTCGACCCCTACGCTCAGGGCATAAGGGACGAGGTACACTACTGGAACACTACAGCCAAACGCAAGGAACACAAAGGATATGGACAGGACCAAGAACCTGGTAATCTGCAGGAAGCTAAACTCATCTTTTGCTTTAGCAACGAAAGATTTGCCTGTGGATAACTGTTGTGAGAACATCAAAGGTTCAGTTAAAACTGCTTGATCAAAGTTATCTGGTGATGTCCCTTCACTGGATATTGAATTTTCTCTTTTTTCAACAGCATTAATCCATGTGGTGTTTGAGATCATCTTTTCCTGTTCCATGCTGCTGTTAAGAATAGTTGGAACAAATAACCCTGTCCCCTCAAGCATTGTCTCCAGCTTATTGCTCAACAGGTGGCATTCTGACATTTTCCTATCTAACACCTCAGTAACAGTGAGTTTTGGGGTTGCTAGCAGTGCGATACTCTGGTGAAGCTTGTCTTTTTCAAGTCCAAAGTGTTTTAAGGCTCCGATGTTGATGACAAGGCTCGTTTTGTCTTGTAAACTCTGTACTTGCTGCTGCTTTGGCTCCGCTTGACCCCAGTCAGAGGCCGTCTGTTCAGTGAGTTCAGTTTGCAGCACAGCCGTCATGCAGGCTTTCTCTGTGTTTGACATGTTGTTCTCCCATAGCCTTCAGACAGAACAAAATAAAACAAGAAATAAAAATTAGTTCCAGTGGCATGTGAGAATATTCACCTCAATTGACCCATTTTTAAGTTATGAGACAATAAGATACTTCAAGGTCTTTATCATATACCAACATTTAGTGGTAAAAGCTTGTGAAATTAAAACAAAATGATTTAAATCTTTTTCTCAAATAAAGATCTGTGTGTAAAGTTTTATTGAGTTATACACAAAGAATTTCCTTTTGAAGTATGCATGTATCAGCTGTGCCCATCTTAAGACTAAAATGTTTTCTCTTGCAAAGTAGTCAACGTTCAGACTATTTGGATGGAAAATATTTGCCAAACTACATTTTCAAGTCATTTTCGATTTCCTTTTCTAGACTTTGACGAGGATGCTCTTTCACAAGAAGGTGCTTTGATCAAAATCAGTCTATTGTAGCCAGAGATGGGAAGTAACGAAGTACAAATACT